AAAGCAGATTATCTTTTACAAAATTCTCAGCTAAATAATAACATTTATACATTTGTATTAAGCAATGAAGAAAATGAACTTCTTAGCACATTAACATCTGCTATTCAAGGTATTCTTAATCTATGCCTTCCAGACTTATCACAAATGGGTTCAAATTATCTATGTGATTTTTTTCATACGTATCATTATGATAGTAAAAGGCGAAAATTCACATCATCCTTATCAATGGGTGTCTTACATTCATTTCATCGTGAATTACAAGGTTTATTAGCTTCTTTAGAAGCTTTTCCAGCTGCATTCAATGGTCAATTAGATGTTGTTAAAAAATTTATTAGAGAATATCCAACATTTAAAGATAAACCAGGATTATGGGAAACAACATTACTATTTTCAGCAGCACGAAATAATCATTTAGATATTGTTAAATACTTGATTAAAGAAGCACGTTGTTCTGTCAATGCTCAAAATCAACGTGATGTTAATTTTGCATTGAAGACTTCTGGAAAAGATTTCGCTCCTCGACCAACAGCAGCATCGACAGCTCTTCATGGTGCTTGCTTTTATAATCATTTGAATGTTGTGAAATATTTAATTAGACATGGTGCTGATTACTTTAGTCGAAATCAGGCAAATGAAACACCAATAAATAATGGAGAACAACATGCTGATATAAAAAACTTTTTTCGAGATTATCTTATTATGGGTTATTCTATTGCAGCTTCAGAACGTATACCTAATCAACCTGTGATGGATGATTATCAACGCCCAATACAAGACTGCATGTGGGAATATAAACCAATTCAAGATCCTAAATGGTATAAGTTTACTGAACCGGAAGCCAAATCTTTGCATAAAGCTTTATTACCATCAGAAGAATTTCAGCAACAAGTTTATTTGAAAGTAGCCAGAGGTTTATATAGTGTATCAATTATTGAATTTTTACGATCAGGAAGACATGAACAAGATCCACAAAAAAATATGGCATGGGTCCGATGTCGTGGTTCTAGTGTTTTAAACTTTGATTGTTTTTCAATCTGGCAAATGATGTTAACTCAACATCCAAAAGTAAACAAAAGTACAGAGGCTATCGCATCCTTAAAAATACAACATTTTCCAGTTATGAATAGTAGTCGCTTTGCGCTTCAATTAAGTACTTGGTATAGTTGTGATGATAAAACAAGTTCATTATTAGATAATGCTATGAATTATCGACGAAAAATTATTTCAATTAATATACCTTACGTTGGTGATGACTTGGTTTTAAATTTACACACATTTGAGTTTTCAAATAATGGCAACACAATTGTTGGATATATTCGATGGATTCCAAAACTTATATCTAATACTGGAAATATAGAACAGAAAATCGTGTTTGTTGATAATTACCAATCTACGGTTAATATCCAACCAATTCCGTTAACTACAAAACGTTGGAAACTTTTTCAAGAGAAATATACTGATGAAAAACAAGCGAACAATTTAGCAAGTCAAGAAGATAATGATGATGATGACAGTGGCTTACATATGGCGACAAGATTTGTAACAGGAAATGATGATGAAGCCTATGATGCTGATGATGATATTGGCGATTTGACTAACAAGAGGAAAGTAAGTGAAGAAGATTATTTGAAATCATACTTCGGGCGAGAGATTTGGCTAATATTAAGTTCAATCTTCAGTTACACTTCCCATAGGCACTGGTTCATATCATTTTGAGAAGGTTTCAGGACAGCCCATCTGAGTTCAAGATCATAAAGGAAAAAAGAACGACGTCCTAGATTTTAAGTACTAATCCCTATATTAAATGTGCACACTTTAAATTGTTTATTTCTAACAAATATCTGAATTTTTAAATAAGTAACATATACAAGAGATAAAAAAAAAAGAATACTGAGGGATGTTTTAAAACTTAAGTCGTGTGGGACAGTCTCAAATCCCCTTCGTTTCGTCCAGCAGGACAGTATGGATTAGCCTGACAATTCGCTGCATAAGACATTCAAGAGGGGACATTCCGGATCGGCACATGACAAAAGTGTGTCCCATAAGTATCTAGTCAGTAGTTAGGCCTTTTTTTTGTTCAAGCTTCAATTAAAAATCCACCCAAAGTTCGCAAAGTAAAAATTAGAAAAGAAAAAAAAGCAGCACTCAAAGCGGAGGGTTGTCAACTGCATTATGGTATCATGTTTTGATTGATTTATTTTAGAATTTTTTCTTACTATGATAATATTGCGCTTTAACGTACATATCAAGTGAATTATCATCTAGATTTCCGTTCGTCCTACATGAACATTTCTTGAATGAATGCTATTAGAAATATATCATCAAATCTTCAATGTTTTTTTTTACTAGCCCATCATCTGTTTTTTCATGTACCAGTACAAAAAGTACTTTTTGGCTTTCGTTGATACATTCCTTGTAATTTCACTAAGTAGTTAAAGAACAGACGACGAATCAGCAAAATGTATTTGTTGACGAAAGACGGAAGCAAGATAACCACATTTATTGAATAAAAACAAAGTATTTTAGTACGAATGAACAACTATATGTATTTTTCTTTGTTTGGCTTACGTAAAATTATTATGATGTTCATTGTATAAATGTTGAATCGATGAAAAGAATAAATTATATGTTTTGAAAAATAAGTAATTTTTCTCAGACAAATTGAGATACCTTTTGAAAATTTTATATTTTACTCAAGAGTGAGCCCATGGGCACCTTTTTCAAAACTTGATCTTGCCTAGCCCATATGTCTTTTTGCAAAAAATATTGATTCATGAGCAAGCTGGTTTGGACTTGGTTTGACCTAAGCCGTTCGGAGATCTGTTATCTACATTGGTATATCTTCTACGACTGTAAGAACAAGAACAATAAACTTAACAGAACATATGAATAAATATCTTATCTATATTAAATATGAAGCCTTTTTAGTATATATTAGTTCCTCATAGTGTTTGTACTCGTTTTACTACCTCTGATCGTTTTTGAGCGTTTCAGACAGTTAAAATATATAGGTAAAAAGATGAGCGAACGCGAATGAAAGATTGATATACATTAGGCGTATATAAGAACTGCATTTTGTTATGTTCATGTTCCACACTGTCCTGGTAAAACCTAACAACGATGCAATTATAGTTGCTTTGTTATTGTTGTAGGTATTGATTCCATAATATATTATTTATATTCCTTGTCCACTTTTCCCTTTCAAGTAGTTGGTTATATATTTTGACATTCCTATATGTTCTATAGAACAGCTCTATACATTATAAAATCAAAAATAAGACTTGTTGTGTCTAAAAAATGCAAAAAAAAAGAACTCAAGGAAATAGAGTAATAAAAGCAACAAATGAAACTAGTACGAATAAAGGAAAGTTAAAAACACGCAAACATGTCAATAGGTTCACGTCTAGCAATGTAAAACAGAATAAATCTAATTTTTCGAAGATTATTCTCAGACATTGAATAAACATCGATTCTTTTTCAAATATTTATGTTAAAAAAAAATATGGCTTTATAACATCTTTTCATAATCTTGCAATATTTCTTCAATTAATTTTTAGGCAGCAAACTACAATAATGATACTTGGAGTATCACCGATCTCAATGATGAAAACCCTAATATCAAACGGCGCGCTGATACCGACTCAAGTGCAGGAGACAATAAAATTTCGGGAAAGCCTATCGGACCTTTTCCCCACGAAAAAGTTGGTAAAGATATACCAGCAGCTGTCATCGAACGACCAAATCCTACGTTACAAGCTGGTACAATTGATGCTCTTAACTCTAAGTTAGAAGGAGATTTAAAACAACAATTAGTCAATAAACAAACTCAAGAACAAAAACTAAAAGATTTAATCAAACAAATCAAAGCTTTTGATTATGATCATATTGAATCATTTATTGCACAAAATTATTTATTTAGCAAAACAGAACACATTATTAATCATCTTAAAACAAAACATCCAATTGATGATTTACTACCGGGAATACTTACTATTAGAATTACAGAAAAAAATAACGTTTATTGTGTATCAGTTACTGGTCTTCAAGTACATCATGATGAATTCAAACTTGTTCTAAAAC